TTGTATAAAACGAGAAAGAGAGAAAGACAAAAGAGAACTGGGCAGGGGGCAGGGGAATATTTTTATTGTATAATTATAAGTGTATAGGACGAATATATATGTATTTGCATGTGTATATACAATTTTCTCTCGCTTTATACAAACAGAAACGCAATTTATACACTTCTGTTGTATAAAGCGAGAGAGGCGAGCACAGAGGGAGTGAGCGAGAGAGGAGAGTGGCGAGCGAGAGTTTGAGGGAGAGAAGCGCTGGCAAACAGTTTGCTACATGACACAATTAAATCAAAGTGTGATTATACCATTTAATTTGAATTAATAGTTTGTCATTATGTACAATTTTTCCTTTAATATATAATGGAGTTTGCCATTTTCGAAAATGAGCCACTGTCCACTCCATTGTCTCCGCTGAGGTGTCTGCCAAATAGCATATCAAATTGGTAAAAATGATTATTGATTATCAATTGTTTTAATTCTTACCATCATAATAATACTTGTTATGAAATTATCTGTATAATTCCTCAGGATTTGTTTCTCATGGCTGTAGTAAAAATCATTATTATGGTTCTTTCTCTGTTTTCTTGTTGATTATGTAAGATATGACTCGGTCATAAATATTGGCAAAGATGATATCAGTCTTTATATAAGTATTACTCTCTCAGTTTCAATTTGTTTGTCTTACTTTCTTTTTAATAAAAGGATGTTTCTTTCCAAATTTGGTAAAGTTCCAACATCCCACGTGATATATTTAAGATCACAAGATTAAATGTGATTTTTGTACATTATACATATCTTTAGTAAGCCCGACCATTATGTATCCCTAGACGGCTAGACCCTATTTTGTGGGATTACACTAGATATGTTGTTGAAGTTCACAAGTCATTCTTTAAACTGTGTCCAATCAAACTAAGACAAATAAATTGAATTGAGGGAGTACTATGCTGCTCAAGGTGATGAAACAAGGGAGGACAGGATTAGAACCATAAGGTAGAAAGATCACCACGCCATAACGATTTGAGGCTTTGAGTTAGGCTATGTGGAAAGCACGCAAGCTAGCCTGGGCACCACAAAGTCGTTTTTTTAATTTAAAAAAATAAGGCTTTGTGGAAAGATTTACCTAACAGGTAGAAGGAAGGTTCAATAGCTTGTGAAGATGTTTGATGATAAAAAGAACAAAGAACAGCACTAGGAAGTAGAGATGAAGACTGTTCATTCAAAAAGGATAAAGATGATCAGTATTATGTCTGATAATTTATCTAGATTTGACTATGCTAGATTGAATTAATTAAGTATGCATCTAACTTATGTTAGCTAAATTAAGCAACAAGTCTTTTTTAGGCCAGGTAGTTGTTTAATCCATGATCATTTTGGTTAGTTGTCAAGACTTAGCTCTTTTTGTAAGCTGGCCTTACTGAGCTTAACAAGAAGGAATTAAAGTAGATCCTTACTGGACGAATTAAATTAGATACTAACAAAGTGAACCTCCCCGAAATAGGGCCTCCCTTGAATTGATTGTGTCAGTGATTAGTTATTGACGCAGGGAAAGACGTAAGGCTATTTGGATCTTTCGGAGCAATGACATTTTCTTGCTTTTACGTTTTGATTTAGACGTTTTATATATATGGTATATGATACATCTTACAGTTTCTCTCTTTAAACCTTTATTGTTTGTTTGTGTATTGTCACTTGTCGATAGGAACGTCATCCATTTAATATGAAACAGCTGAAATCAAGGTCTGCTGAAAAAACTGATTTCACTTGGCTTTTCCAGTAGTATTGTTTATCTTATCTCCCCTTTTTTCTTGACCAAATTGTTGTTAAGGAAAGTATTTTACTTATAGAAACATTCTAAATAAGCTTAGCGTGAGGGCCATTACATCAAGGACTTACTGACAATTACTTAGCTCTTATTTGCTTTAGAAGAAGTTTAACAGGAGAGATACGCCTAGCCAGATATGCAAATCCTGCTATTAAGCAATGGCCTAAGAACCATTTGATTTATACTCTGTCAGTGCAAACTTGCTAACTCTGTTTACAACCGGTGATTATAAACAATTGTACAAGTACCATGTCACTCACTATTAATTTAAAGGGATGAGAAATTAGGAAGGAACACCTTAAACTTTCACATGAAAGATCACTGTGACTAATCTTTTTGCACTCTTTTGGTTTTACTTTTGCCTGACCAGTCTGAGTACTAGACAGAAGAAAGCAAATCAAATTTGAGAAAGAAGAGGCACAGTAGTTGGTCGAGGACGAAAATCAAACATATGATTATCTTATATTCATGTGGTCAAGAAGTCACAATTCAAACTGTGAAGTCAAGAGTTTGGATCTAAATGGCTTCTATTGGTCACTTTAATACACTTGGCTACCTTGGTCTTCTATGATCATGTGAAACAGTTCTGGTATTTGCTGTCCAAGATGCATTATAAATTGCTGTGATCATTTGGTCAACGTTGCCTATGCTACTCCTGAACTAATTAGCGATTCAATTTAGTAAATTCACGGATTCTCTTCTGATAACGGGCTCTTGATGTTAAAGATGCTTTATTATCCATGGTTTGATACTGGTAGATGAGTCTTTTGAGTATATAGGTACTTGTTGTATACAAGGTTTAAAACTTGGTAAAGTTGTCTCCATGTGACCTATAGGTCACAGATTCGATCCGTGTAAGCAGCCACTAATGCTTGCATTAGGATAGGTTGTCTACATCACATCCCTTGGGGTTCAGCCTTCCCCAGATCCTGCTAACGCAGGATGCTTTGTACATGGGCTACCCTTTTATCCTTTGTCAACATACGGACACTTGCAGTATTATGGTTACTTTCATGTCATTCCTTCCAATGGAGTTCCATAAGCTACTATTTTAATGCTTAATAATTTGGAGTTCATTTTCATTTCTTGTTTGGTTGTCTTTGGTGTACAATATTTACACACAACATAGTGGAGGCTATAGTTGGTGATCTAGGAACTAAATCTACTCCACAAAGAAGTTCCTTTGTTATCTCTGCTTTGTGCAGGTACAAATTTTGCAGGTAATAAACTATTTTGTACATGTAAATTTCACCACCATCTGTCACTGTTTCTCGTACTTGTCGTTATATTTCCTCACCAACTCACTAGAACGAAAGAATAAAGAAGTCGGGATTTGAAAATGCTTTTTTGTTTGGTGATGATGCGGTACAGTTATGGCCAAAATCATAGTTCAGAAAGAAGTTTGATCATATTTGATTCTGGAGAACATTACCTTTCCACATATCAATGATCCCGCGGTTGGGATTTTCCAACTCAAAGCATTGATAACCTGCAACCTCACACTCTTCTGATGAAAAGTGAGGTGCAAGTAAAGGGGCTGCTGGATGCATCCACAGTGTCTCATTGGCAATGCATCCGATGTAAGGAAGTTGAGCCAAACCAGATTCATTAGTTAGGCAGTCTTGTCCAACGAGCTTGAAAGATTCAATATAACATTCATTTCAAGATCTATATCCAGGATAAGGCATAAGTAGGATAAATAGTCAATATTAACTGCCTATACTATGTAGCTATCTTGGTAAGTAACAACTAGAGTTCATCTAAACATGTTCTTCTATCAAAGAGCGAACCAATAGTACTAGCAAAGAAAATGAATGTTCTTTAAGAATGGAAATTCTGGTAATAAATAGATTCTTTCACATGCAAGAAAAAGCATGTAAAGTTGTCGAGAATAATCTCAGGAAATTTTCATACACAACAACAGCATACCTAGTGTAGTCCTACAAAATGGGGTTTATTTGAGAGTTCTGAGAGATTTTTGGGCAGGGGACTTATCAGTAGGTAAAGATGACCGATTATTCGAAATGATGGGGGATATTGGACGATTTTGGCTTGTGAAGGACATGTTGAGTTAAGATATGCAGTACTAGAAACAGTGGAATAGCCAAGTACAAGGAGCTAGAGTTCCATTGAGATATATTCTTTTGGATGGTTACAATTGATTTGATTATGCTAGACTTGTCTTGATATATAAATAGGAAATTTAAAACCGGTTCTTGTATTATTATTTTTTGGTTACATTTCCTTTCCTCTAAACAAGACTTGTCATTTTTTATACTTGTGTCAAAATTGATCTGTGTTAACAAAGGAATGTGATATTTAAAACTTGTTGTTTCTAGTAGCACACAACAGTGTGATGTATCAAGCAGTTCAAGACTGCATATTTGCAACTTGTGTTGCAAATTTCATTTTAGGGAAAGGAGAAAAATAGTTGTCAAAAAAGGCCTGACCCAGCCCAGCCCAAGCCTCACGGGCAAAGAAATTTGAGGGCTAGGTCAGGCCGGCCCTTCGTTTGGAAGGGCCTGAAAATACTCAACCCTAGAAGGGCCGAGGGCTGTGGCGGTCTAGCCCTTTTTTTTCTTTTTTTTTTCAAACTTAAAATTCTATAACATCAAGAAAATGAGAAGATTTTCAAATAAAATTGGCAAACAATAGTGTTGTTTCAATAACACTAGTAAAATATCTAGTGTAATTAACATGTATCTATGATACTAGATATGCGAGATACATGTATCTCGTGTGAAGCACCCCAGATACGTGAGCGAGATAAGAGAGTGACAAGCGAGATGGGAAGGTGCGAGATTTGTCTGTGTATCCTAGATACATGCGAATTCACTTGGGTAGAGTTTATCTAGAAAAAATTAACCTAATTTTGAGTCTATGTATTCCGAAATACATGTATCTGGACGTACCAAACTCGGGTAAGATTCATAATATTACAACATAACGTGCATTTAAATAATTAGTTCATATACTAGCGAGATTGTTGTAAGCTACCCTTAAATAAATTGTTTTGACCCATGGGCTTACCTCAGTTCGGCCCCAATCAAGCCTCAAGGGACAATGGCTTATATGCCCTAGTTTTAAATGGGCTTGAAAAATTATATTCCAACCCTACCCTAATAACAGGTTGGGTTGGGTTGGGCCGGCCCCATGGGCTAAGCCCATTTTGACGGCTCTAGAGAAAATGATGCAGGAATAAGTTTATTACATTTTTCTGCAAGTTTTACTACCTTGCCACACCAAAATTTTGAAGGGAAAAGAACAAACAAGGAAGCTTGATACCTAGTAACAACAACTTATATGTATGTACATATAGTTCGAGTCGAAAGTAAATAAGCAATAGGTTCAGTTGAATATAAAATAATCACTCTGCATGTTAACTCACAACATTTTTAGAATACATTAACATTAGATGACCATTATGAATAATATTCTAGTTTGGTCATGTCGTTCGTTCGAGACAAATTGTGTTCATATCTGAGAAAGAAGATTAGCCATTACAGGTCGTGGGCTACACTTAGCCACCAAGGGTTGAGCTTTAGGTAAGGTGAGTCCAGTTCCTTCAGTCATATCAACCAATTCATCGCCAATCCGTCGCCAATCAAAGCACTGAATAATACATCCCAATGACAATGCAACCATTCGAACAGCCAATCCTTCTCCAGGACAACTCCTTCTTCCAGAACCAAAAGGCATCATTTTGTACCCATCTCTAACACCTTCTAGTCCTTCAAATCTTTCTGGTTTGAACTTTCTTGGTTCATCCCAAAGCTTAGGATCGTTGTGTATAGCCCACAAATTCACAAGCAACATTGTACCTCCAGGTACACGGTAGCCTCCCACAGTGGTCTCCTCAGACGACTCGTGGGGGACTAACAGAGGTCCTGCAGGGTACATTCTGAACGTCTCGTTTATAATGCAACGTAGGTAAGGTAGGTTGTTCATGTCTGACTCGTCGATTAGACGTTCATGGCCGATACGTTCGTCGATTTCAGCTTGTGCTTTCTTCAGTGTTTCAGGATGGTTTAACATCAGTGATAAAGCCCATTCCATTGTCCCAACTGAAGTATCAGTCCCTGCTGCTAATAGTACCTACAAATATCAAAATATTTTTAAGTTTTATGCACACCGACAGTATAAAAAATATTTACACATGAATAACAACATGAAAGATGAAATCCAGACAAAGTATTTTATTTTATTGTAGTTCTAGAAAGAACATACTTCAAATTTTAAATGAGAAATCCGTACGAATTTTGATAAGATTTTTTTCATACAATAAATGGGACAATTGTTTTGGACCCTACAAGTGTTTAATTCAAATTGATACAACAACCAACTACAGCCTTATGTTTCAAAGAAAAAATCCTTGTTTATTTCAAAGTCAAAAAAGTCATTAAAGGATAAATATTTTGAGTATTAGTGGCGTCATTTGCGCTTAATCGATTCTTTTCTAAGGGAATATTTGACCAATGTTCATCTAATAGGCTATTAATCAAATTGAAAATACATTAAATTTTTCTACACCAAATCCTATCTTTCCAAATTGGAATTACAATATTTTCAACACATTACTTCTAATACAATGATTTATTTTCCTTTTTTATTTGGATTTTACCTATTGAGTTATAGACACTCGGATAAAGAATTTGTACTATTAAAGTAATTTAACCTATTGTAGAAGGTTCTGTTATCTTGTTTGTTTGGTAACAAATTTAACTTATAATGAACAATACTCTTTCTTTATCTATCTATTTTCTTTTCCTTTTTTAAACGCATATAGTTTGACTAGTGGTAGGTCTTCATCCATGGTATTCTCCAAATTGGCATTCAACTTTGTACTAAACTTATTGATCAAAGGGACAAACTTGCTACTGTACAATAGCTCGCAAATTATACCACTAGATAAATCCGTATAACGAGTTTAACTAAAGAAGGCTAAAGAACCGATCCCTATCAATTTCTATTTGATAAATTACATCTATAGAAAAAAAAATACTTGTACTTGAGAAGTTTAGGATTAATGCAATACTGAAGTGACTTACAAGCATAAGGCTTCTGATGATTTCGTCTTTGTAATATTCTGGTTCCTTTTCTTGCAGTGTTAACAACACTTCAATCAACGATTTCTTCTTCCCTTCGATCTCCGAATCAGTAACAGTTCCGTCTTTCTCCAGTCTCTTTCTGCAATCTTTTATCAGTCCCTGCATAAACTCATCTCTGTTCTGTTGCAACACAACTAAACTTTTCTCCAATTTCCTCACCAATAGTTTCAACGCCGGCAGAAAGTCACCGACATTCGTCGCCCCACCGATCCTGAAAGTCTCCTGCACCATTTCCCTGAATCTCGTAGCTTCTTCAATATCCTCCACATCCTCTCCGTAGTACCTGTTGAAAATATAATTAAGTAAATAAAAGTATATTTTTTTTCAAAGTTAAATTTTGAATTAGAAAAGGTAATCACGATAAAAACAAGCATATATCTTATTGTTATAAGATTTAATTGAACCTCCTTCCTAGAGTAGTTCAATTGATCGGATTCAAGAGTCTTGTTGGTGAGGGTTCGATCCTCCACTTTGTAATCTCTTCCCCATTACCTATGATGACTACCTGAACTTTCACCTTATCGGTGAGGATTCAATTCTCCATCTCGTAAACTCCTTACACATTTTTCCTACTCCACCTCCTTCACTGTATGTTGATTCAACCTTTTATATAAAGTAATTTCTAAATAGTCACAGATTTAATTTGTACCTTTTTCCTGCAATCGTCCTCATCATAACATTTAACATCAGCTCAAAAAACATGGATTTCATATCCACAGATTTTTCAGCCATAGCAGAGGAATTAATCTTCTTAACCATAGATTTCACTTCATCCACACGAATTCCGTGAAGCATTTGAAGACGATGAGTTGAAAACATCTCAACCGAAGTAATCCTCCGTAGATTTCTCCAATGATCTCCATAAGAACTCCAAGCCAACGAAGTAAAATTATAACCTAGATGTTTTCCGGCCATCAAATGAGGGCGATTTGCGAAAACAACATCGTTCTTCGTAAAACACTCTTCTGCTCCCGACGGCGATGAAACCAGAAGAACTTTCCGGGAACCGAATTGGAGGAGAAGAACAGGGCCATGTCGATCGGAGATTTTGGCTAAGGAACGTTGAAGAGGTTTTTTGAAGAGATAAAGATGGCCAATAATTGGGAAAGTTAGAAATGGAGCTGGTGGATGATTATGGAATTTGCGTAAAAAATGTTTGGTGATAATGTAGAGAGCTAGGAGCAGAGGAGCATACAAAAATGTCTGATC